AGTGTTAAGTAAATATTTTTTAATTGTTGTTTTGTAATTGATTTTTTATTTGAAAAGCAGGACAAAACAGTAAAAAGCACATTTTGGCAATTTAATTAATGCAATTGTGAAAAAAATGGCAAAATAGGCCTACATGGGGGAAAAATGTGAAAAACCGTATTCGGCCTTCGGCCCAGTGTTTCATTTTGTTCGGCTCCGGCTTCGGTCTACAATTTTCATTTCGGTGCATCCCTAGTGTGACTTTATATCTTGCAGTTGCAGCTTTGTTATATTTTGATTTCATTTCTCGCAATTGCTATGTTATTTCTCGAAATGTCACTATATCTCACAATTGTGACTTTAAATCTCACAGTGTGATTAAATCTTGCAGTTGCAACTTTATATGTCACAATGTCACCTCATATCTTGCAATTGTGACATTTTTTTACATTGTGACTTTATATGTCGCAATTGTGACTTTATTTGTCAGCGTGACTTCATATTTTGCTATTGCGATGTTATTTCTGACAATGTCACTTAATATCTCACAAGTATGACTTTAAATCTGACAGTGTGATTTTATTTCTTGCAATTGCGATTTTAAATCTCACAATTTGACTTATCTCGCAGTTGCATCTTTTTCATAATGTCACTTTATATTTAACAACTGGGAACATAAATATCGCAGTGTGACTTATATTTTGCAACTCTTATTTTAAACTTTTATCTCATAGTTATCTTTTGTATTTTGTACTCTGAGGCAGAAACAAGTTTCCATAAATTTCTTATCTTATATACAATTTTAATAAAGCTTTGTGACTACAACAAGTTCATGCCTATTTGGTAGGCAGTAAGTCTGTCTGTAAAAAGCCTCGGACAATACGCAGAGCTCATATGTGCATCATGATGCTAACAAAGCCTGTTGGATTATTTTCAATCTAAAAACACTGTATCTCAATTTGCTTGTTGACATCTGGTGGAAGCATCACAGCGGTGAAATATCGATTAGTAAATAATAAAACTGTAATGAGAGATGACATATCCGTTTGCATGTGGTTAGCAAAAGCCAGTGAGTTATTAATCACAAAGCAGATTTAGCAAGGCACGCTCAAATTGTGTTGCATGTCAACATTTGGCTTCCCCCACCCAAAACATGTGCTCCAAATGAGGCTTTTAATGCATTACCCTGCTATTCCAAGAGAGCAGCAGGATCTGATGGAGTGTTGCCTTCAGACTGCCAACAGGTCACGAATCAGAGTCAGAGGAGGGTGAATAAAATCAATGCTTCATATCTCGCAATGTGCTTCGTTCATCATCGCTAACCTTTATTTACGGTATCTGGTCGCCTAGTACATGTCAGGACTCTTGGAACCAAATATTCGATCCATCCCATCAATATTTATGAGATTTTTTTCCACTTCTATACAGCATTACGTCAATATTGTTTAATTGCTTGTTCGGTTAAATTTACGATGGCCATGTTATGCAAAGAATTATGGCCCATACTATGTTTTCTTGCCATTTTCTTGTCTCAGGTTTACCAACAAGGCTGTTAAACCCCAATCCAACACATAAAACAATTCTCATTTCATGCTCAGATTTGCAACATTATGTCAAGCTTCACTTTCATCCGAGGCCCACAGAAACCAGCTGTGTTTAAGTCCAGGCTTTGTACAGTATCAGAGGTGCTGGAACTTTGTCAAGAAAAAGATGTAATGAGATCTAAGGCACTGAACAAATGTCCCTGGGAGATTTACTCCCGCCAAACGGCACAGGCTGACCATAGTTCAAACCTTCAGTCTGATTTATGGGCTACTTTATCTGATTTAATGAGCATTTCAACAATTAGCTTAGCCTGCATCAGAGCGCTCGGAGTGGCATATCAGTCATGACCTGTGAAAATACAGCTGCTTTTTTAACGATGGCAAACATAGGCATTCATTTTAATGGGCGGATCTCACAGCTCGGTCGCAAGCGAGGCTCATTATGCCATCTTGTAAGGGGAGCCGTCATTTCTCCCTTTTTTTCACCACCTCAGCCACTGACTTTTAGAGGAATAATATATCATCTCTTAACATAGCCCGTCCCACGCTGCAGGTATGGGGAGATCTCCGCAGAGGAAGATTGGAAGATCAATTAGAGCCACGAGGCAGCTTGTTGTCACTGACGCATCATTAGTAGCTTAATCAAGAGTAGTTTGATGCTTTTTCAACCAAAAATGAATTCAAAGTCCATCCCCTAGCGCAGCAAATGAGGCATGGTGTTTTGATTTTTTTGGTCAATATACTGGAAAGACACATAGCCACTGTTATCGTGTTGACATGTGAAGGGGTCGGTGAAAGATTTCTCCAGTTCACCCCCTGTGTATATTGTGAAATGTAGTTAGGTGTTGCTCGACGAGGCTTTGTTAGGCCACACATCCGTAGAGATGCACACACACGCGCTCTGTGTCTGCAGAGAGGTGGAAGAACAAAAGTCCAGCAACACCGCTGAGATTATAGCCTTAAGAAATATGAAACTGCACACTGTCATGATGGCATGTTGCTAAGCAACTAATAACAGTTTTTATATTGATCTTCAATGTCATGTTTCTTCCAAGGGAGGACATGCAGCTTTGCAAACTGTAAATCAGAAACACAAATCATGTGTTGCTGCAAATTGAATTCATCTTCAGTGCATTTTTATATATCAGGTGAAATTACATTTTTACATTGTACAATGGTAAATTGCATTTAAAACAAAAGAGTAAAGCTAACTTTGGGAATATGATTATGAAAGGAAATGAATACAAATGTTACCAATAACAGAAACTGCTTAAGATTCATCAGTATAACTCAGATTAATTCAGTTGTTTATCAGGCTTCTCTTTCCAACTGGATCCGATTTAACAGTCGGATCCGATTTAACAGTCAGATCCAAGACGTCTGTGTAAGTCTGGAGTTTCTTCAGACTTTGCATATGTTGCTAATTAAGCAGACAGGCTAGATCTGAATCTAGACACTTCTTAAAGGGACAGTTCACCTATAAATGAAAGTTCTGTCATTATTGGTTCACCCTTATGTTATTCCAAACCTGCATGACTTGCTTTTTTATTTTTGGCATGAAATAAGCTTCAGAAAAGGATGCCAAAGCAAACCTAAAGAACATTATAGCTTTGTATGACAGAGGATGGAAATTTAAGCGAAATAAAATATGCACTAGCTCTTTTATTCATGAGTTCATTGGATAGTGATTATAGTGATTCATGAGTGAATCATTGTTTTGGGTCAGATCTGTAAATGAATCAGTTGATCATTTGACTAAACCTGTTTGAATCACTGCTTGATTAATTAAATTAAGTGATGGCCTTTATATATATTACTGAAATATCATAATGTGAGAAGGGTCTGACATTTCTGAATGACAAAAAAAATGTTAATGTATGTAGAAATATTTAGTAATTTGTATATTAATAATGTTGAACAATTTGTGTTACTGTGTAAAATTAAAGAGTAAGTTAGAAAATGATTCTTTGGTTTAAAATCAGTATTATGCTTTAACTGCAAAAAGAAAGAAAAGAAAATACACTACCCATGTCGGTCACAGAAGGTGAACTTTCCACTGGATATAATTGTGTAAGCACTATTTTCTTCCTCCCAATAAACACAGCGAAACCTGGTAGTAAAACTATTTGACACAGTTAAATTAATCACATCTCCATGCCTCGGGCGCCCCATGTGAATCCCCACATGGTGCCAGCACAGACAGGATATTGGCACACTTGGAAAGATTGGCAGATAGAAAAGGACAGTCTGTCAATGTGACTTTTTCTATTTTTGAAAAACCCAAACGCTTAATGCTTGCGAATACCACAGAATATAGTTTTATTTAGGTGTTTTTGTGATTTTTCTTGAAGATAAATGATTTTGACTCTTAGATAAACAGGGCTGTTGATGTTTGCCTGATTAAAAACACTGTCATGGCAGTCTAACCGAAGAAAAGTCAAGGTTTATGAGCGGGCCGCATACAGTAATGATTTCTGGAGAAAGCTCAAGGCTGACTGAGACATAATAGGCCAGTTCTGCCTCTCATGTGGTCCTATCTGAGAGTGACTCATGCGATACTTAATCCTGGTGATTCAGGGAGGGAAACCCAACATTTTATGTAAAGTAAAAGCCATGAATTATAGGATTGTCCAGTGCAGCTATTATTTATTTGATCTTTTACGCCGACACATCCCAGTCCGGTAATGAATTGGGTTGCAATTTGTCAGTGAGGAGCAATACAATCTCCCATTCTTTATCTGCTCTGAAATGAGCAGTATTCTCAACGGAGGACCATAAAACAACACATTGTGTCACTGATTAGCCAAATCCATTATGCTCTAATTAAATCACTAGATACTGCACATTACTGCTCTGAGCACTGCAGTGGCCTTTATCACTAAAGCCCACAGATAATTATTTGATTTATTTGATTAGCTTGTTTTCACTTTGCAGTTCTTACTTTTTATGGAATATTTTAGAGACATGCTCACGTTTTCTTTTTGCATTTTCGTTTATTATAATTTACTAGATCTGTCTAAAAGACACCATCTAACTAATACGTCGCTAGCTTAAAAGTTTCGATTTTGTGTAAACACTGAAGAATTATAATGCATTTCCTCACATCATAGTGCTTCCTTCCTCATTTTACCCTTTAGCCTGATGTTAGACTAGCGCTCTTGTCTTGAGCTAAGGCACCTGGGGAGAGGGCAGCTAAGTTAATTGTCAGATCGCTGTGATCTCTGAGGCATCTGAGGTGTCTTACTGATGAAATGTCCCATATTATTTGACTTTTCCCACCATTTTTTTTCTCTCTGAAATGTACACTAACGTTCAGTTTGTTTTAAAGAAATTAATACTTTGGTCAGACTTTATTTTAAGCTCCAATTCTCACTATTAACAAACCATTAACTACAACTTTTGCCTCAATAAACTCCTAATTTGCTGCTTATTAATAGTTAGTAAGGTAGTTGTTAAGTTTAGGTATTGGGTGATTAGGAAAGTAGAATATGGTCATGCAGATTATGTGCTTTATAAGCACTAATAAAAAGCTAATATGTTAATAATTGGCATGCTAATAAGCAACTAGTTAATAGTGAGAATTGGTCCCTATACTAAAGGTGTTTGAATAATATATTTGTCACAATAATGTCAGAATATTGTTTACATTATTGATCAGTGGTGTACCTTCGGAGTAGTCGTGCACTGTTTTATAGCAGTTTTTTGTTGTAACGCTTAATGTTCGAAACAACCCACTAATTTTATTAAAATTCTTACCTTTGTGGATTTAAGACAAGTTGGAGTTTATCCTAAGAGGTTATGTATGATGGTTACTAAGAACTTTCTTTAGAACAATCTTAGGAAAAACGTTAAGAACATTATAAAGAAATGTTTTGGAGAATACAAAATATTTATAACTTTATTCTTAAGCTAGAAAATGAGAAAAAAAGTTAAGAATTTTATTCGTAATAATCTTACATGAATTTGGCACCTGAAGTATTAAAATACTGTGTAAAATCTAAAAATATGAAACATTAGGTTAATATTAAAAGTATGAATATTTCCTTTCTAGCTGGATTAAAAAGATTTGCGCTTGTTATTTTATTCCTCTGATGTTAATTTCATCTGCTTATAGAGTCTGCACAAACAGTAGACACATTAGGCCTTTTATAGTCTCTCCGTGTCCAATCTCAGTCCAGGTGGCTTAAATATCCTGACATGTGTACGCTGTAGCTTAATATACCAGAATATGTTTATTCTAAATAACACGTGGTGGGGGGGGGGGGT